CCACCACGGCCTCGTCACTCTCGCCTCCCGCTGGGCAAGGAGGCACGGAAACCTGGACTCGACGCCCTCGGACCTCGCTCCTCATTTCCCCTCCTTTCTTCGCCTCGGGACAGCCAGCAGCCGAACGCCTCTGGGCCTTCCCTGCCGTCTGCCCCCCGGTGGAAGCAGGTAGGTGTTGCCCCGCACACCCAGACCTCTCTCTCGGCCGCAGTAATGCCTCCGGAGTCCAGTCCCTGCCTTCCACTTTGTTGCTCCTCCGCGGGTACGCCGGTGGTCCGAGTGGGCTCGTTGGCATGGTCTCTCGAAGCCTGGCTAGCGGTTGCGAGGCCATCCCGCTGGCTCATCCATACCATCCGGCTCGGCTATGCAATTCAGTTTCCCAGTCGGCCCCCCAAGTACAGTCTGTCTTGAGGAAAGAGATCGCCGCCCTGCTGGCGAAGGATGTGATCGAGCCTGTCCCTCCAGCCGAGATGAGGTCTGGGTTCTACAGCCCTTACTTCATTGTACCCAAGAAAAGCAGTGGGTTACGGCCGATCCTGGACTTGCGAGTTTTGAATCGGGCCCTACACAAGCTCCCATTCAAAATGCTCACACAGAAGCGCATCTTCGAATGCATCCGTCCCCAGGATTGGTTTGCAGTGATCGACCTGAAGGACGCGTACTTTCATGTCTCGATTCTTCCTCGACACAGACCGTTTCTTCGGTTTGCATACGAGGGTCGGGCATATCAGTACAAGGTCCTACCCTTCGGCTTGGCCCTGTTGCCCCGTGTCTTGACGAAAGTCGTGGAGGCGGCCAATGCGTTTGCATTCTCAACTATCTCGACGACTGGCTTATAATAGCTCACTCGCGAGATCTGTTGTGCGAACACAGGGACTTGGTGCTTCGGCACCTCAGCCGTTTGGGGCTTCAGGTCAACTGGGACAAGAGCAAACTCTGCCCCACGCAGAGGATCTCTTATCTCGGTATAGAGTTGGACTCGGTCGGTCAGACTGCGCGCGTCCAGTCAGTGCTCAACTGCCTCAAGTCTTTTCAAGGCAGGTCAGCGGTCCCACTGAAACAGTTTCAGAGGCTCCTGGGGTATATGGCAGCCGCAGCCGCAGTAACGCCGCTCGGCCTGCTGCATATGAGACCGCTTCAGCACTGGCTTCACGATCGAGTCCCGAGATGGGCGTTGCAGAGCGGCATGTTCCGGGTCAACATTACCCCGCACGCATGCTGTGGTTTTCACAGATGCCTCTGCCAACGGATGGGGGGCCACGTACAACGGCCATGCAGTTTCAGGTCTGTGGACGGGGCCTCAACTGCATTGGCACATCAACTGCCTAGAGTTGCAAGCAGTACGCTTGGCCTTGTGCCGCCTCAAGGGGCTCCACCCACAAGCATGTACTGGTCCGTACGGATAGCACTGCGACCGTTGCGTACATCAACCATCAAGGTGGTCTACGCTCCCGTCATATGTCACGACTCGCCCGCCATCTCCTCCTATGGAGTCAGAAGCATCTGAGGTCGCTTCGGGCCATTCACATCCCTGGTGTGCTCAACCGTGCAGCCGACGAGCTCTCACGGCAGCCGCCTCTTCCGGGAGAATGGCGACTCCATCCCCAGGCGGTTCAGCTGATATGGGGAATCTTCAGAGCCGCTTAGATAGATCTGTTTGCCTCTCCGGACACGACCCATTGCCAGTTATTTTATTCCCTGACCAGAGGATCCCTCTGCACGGATGCAAATATGCAAATATTCGAAAATATGCGTTTCCCCCATTGAGCCGTCTCACACAGACACTGTGCAAATTCAGGGAGGACGAGGAGCAGGTCTTGCTAGCTGCGCCGTACTGGCCCAACCGGACCTGGTACGCAGAACTTATGCTCCTCGTGACAGCACCTCCTTGGCCCATTCCTCTGAGGAAGGACCTGCTTTCTCAGAGACTGGCACCCGCGTCCTATGGCACCCGCGTCCAGACCTCTGGAAACTCCATGTCTGGTCCCTGGACGGGATGCGGAGGTTCTAGGTGGCCCACCACAGGTTGTGGTAGACACCATCACTTCCGCTAGAGCCCCCTCTACCAAGTGCCTCTATGCGTTGAAGTGGAACCTGTTCGTCGATTGGTGTTCTTCCCGCCGGGAAGACCCCCGAACTTGCCCGATCAGAGTTGTGCTTTCCTTCCTGCAAGATGGGTTGGAGCGAAGGCTGTCTCCCTCCACCCTAAAAGTGTATGTTGCCGCAATAGCCGCTCATCACGATGCAGTAGAAGGTAAGTCATTAGGAAAGCACGACCTGGTCATCAGATTCCTTAAGGGTGCCAGGAGGCTAAATCCGCCTCGTAATCCGCACCCCGTACCCTCTTGAGACTTAACTCTAGTCCTCAGAGCACTCCAGAGGCCCCCTTTTGAGCCCTTACCTATGGTTGAGTTAAATATCCTGTCTATGAAGACAGCTCTCCTGTTGGCTTTGGCTTCTTTCAAGAGGGTAGGGGATCTGCAGGCATTTTCGGTCAACGAATCTTGCCTGGAGTTCGGACCGTGTCTTTCTCAAGTTGTTTCTCACGGATATGTGCCCAAGGTTCCTACCACTCCGTTTGTAGATCAGGTAGTGAACCTGCAAGCGCTGCCCCCGGAGGAGGCAGACCCAGCCCTAGCTTTCCTCTGTCCTGTCCGTGCTCTGAACAGAACGCAAAGCTTCAGGACCTCAGATCAGCTCTTCGTCCTTTATGGAGGCAAGCAGAAGGGGAAGGCTGTCTCCAAGCAGAGGTTTATGAGTCCCAGGACGTGCCTTGCCCACCTAGGTTGACGGCACACTCCTCCTGGGCGCTGGCGCAGGGCGCCTCGCTGACAGACATCTGTAGAGCTGCGGGCTGGGCGACACCTAACACGTTCTCTAGATTTTATAGCCTTCGTGTTGAACCTGTTTCCTCCCGTGTACTCGCTACGGCCAGTAGCGGGAGGAATTAGGTCATGTCGGCTTGCTACGCCATTCCCGCCCCATGGGCCGGATACGTGCGTCTTTTTGCTCCGTTGATTCCCCAACATACGGTTAACCCCGTGAGTTCCTCCATCACCCCTCCGGCTCCAGACGAGGCAGTTCGCCCGGCGCCAGGGTTATTACCTCTCGTAGAGTTGTTTTTAGACTGGGTGGCATTACAGTGGTCCCTACGGTGACCAATTTTTTCCACATTCCAGCTACCCTCTGGGTTAGCTCCGTGTCTTTTCCTCGACAGACCTGTTCTGTCGTCCCTGCTGAGTACGCTCCCACCCCTCGGGCTGGGACTACCTCAGGGACTGCCATATGTTTCACTACCCCACGGGTTAGTACATATGTGCATTCCAGTGCCTCCCTTCGGGCGGGCAGGGGCTCCGCAGCGTTCCCTCCTATGGGTTGGGCACGCTTCCCCAGTGTTATCCAAATCCACTGAGCGGGTCTTGCGGAACAGCAGTGTGATTCTTCCTAGCTAGCTCCCGCCGTAAAGAAAACTAAGAAACTGCTTTGGCGGGAAGCTAAGCTGGGCGCTGGAAGAGGCCAGCACCATGGCGTTTTATTAGGGATCCCAATTCGTTGGAAACTCCTCCGACGAGACGTAGGAGTTCCCGAACGAAAGGGAACGTCTCGGTTACGTATGGTAACCCTCGTTCCCTGAGGAGGGAACGGAGACGTCTCGTCCCGTCGCCATGCTTGCTGTACCTTCGCGGAGGACTGGACACCGTCTGGCTCCTTAGTGAAAAGCATATGTTTGTGCGCTTGCTTCCGCTTTATACCCGCACTGGCAGGCGGGGCGCGGAATGCAAGTCCTGCATGCCAATGTTCATTGGCTCGTTTTAGTTCACTCAAAGGCAATTGGTCTCCCTTGCGTGGTCCCAATTGGTTGGAAAGTCCTCCGACGAGCCGTCTCCGTCCCCTCCTCAGGGAACGAGGGTTATCATACGTAACCGAGACGTTCTCCATTTAAGAATATAAATGATGCATGCCGAAAATCATCTACTGTAGCATAACTTTGTCCCTTTCTTTGTGTTCACACAGACAGTCATTGATTATTCTCTTCATGCAGCATGTCTGAATATATTAAAAGCTCTCCAGCTTTATCACCGTGTTATGCTGTCTGTCTGTAGGAGGTTGTCATAGAAACGCAATGGCTGTTAACACACCGACAGACCTCTTTCCTGTATCTCAGAATAATATTCTATACATTTTATTTATATTTTCTCTGTTTTCTGCTATTTGATCTTCTTTTATTCTTTATCTGTCTCCAATTTTTCTCACGTCTGTTTTGGATTTAGCTGAAACAAAATTGCCTTTACTAAAATGGCTCTTCATTTTAACACCTACAGGACTGTCTGATGAGAAGCAAACTTGTTAATTAGCAGTGTTCACCCCTCCAGATCTCATTTTGTTGTCGCAGAGGCTAATTTTAGCCCAGGCACTTCTGTCTGTGTTTGTGTGGATATGTGTGTGTGTTTCTGTTGCATTTTCTGAAATGCATTAAATGTGTCATAATGTATCATGATTAATCAAAGAATTCTTGATATTTTGATTCAAAAGAGTCCATTGTACTATGAAAACAGATTGTAACTTTAAGAACCCAATGCTTTCTACCCAGCAAAAATAAACCATTTATTAAAAGTAAACAGCAAAAACAACTTTTTCTGTACATTTGCAACTTTATAACGCCAGATATTTGAAAACATAAACACACCAATGATGCCATTAGGTGTTCAAAAAGTTTAGGATAAATTCCATTAGTCTTAGTTCTATTAGACTTTTTATTCAGAAATGTCTGTCAAACCTTGTACTGTTTCTGGCTGTCGCTCTTTTGCATATCCTTCCAAAGGTTGGAATTGGAAGATAATTGTTATTTTTTAACAATGTTCCTGATCATTTCAGTCTGATCAGTTTGAATGACACATTTATGATGGGTGCATTTCTTAAAGCTCAGCAAAAAATAAATAAAAATAAACTGTTTAATTGTAAGGTCAATGAATCACACTCTGTTTCTTCCTCTCTCACAGGTGAGTGTGATCCTCACCCTGATGGTCCCTTACACTGAAATTGACACAGATGCTCCTCTGATGGAAATGTTTTCTCTTCATGGCTTCCAAACTGCCAAATACATAGTGGCCATCGGCTCCATTGCAGGACTGACAGTCAGTTTGTTGGGCTCTCTTTTCCCACTGCCGAGAGTCATCTACGCCATGGCAGGAGATGGTTTGCTCTTCAGGTACTATAAAAAAGAAAAGACTAACTGCTGGGTCAAGTAATGATGATTCAAGATGCTCTTTAATGTGTATGTCTCCATTATTGCAAATGATTCAAATGCCCTTTAAATATCATTCTCTGCTGGAGAAATAGGCTCCTGTCATGCAGTTTCAAAAGAAATGCCCTGACATTTAAAATCAAAGCCAGTATAAAGGATATGTGTTAAGACTTTGATAAAATGAATGTTTGGATGTTTCACCCTGTTTACACATGGTATTAACATCAGTACACCCGTCACAGGTGTTCAAAAGTTATCAGACAAGATACACTGGCATTTACACTTGGAAGTAAGATATCTCAAAGCATCTCAAATGCATCTCATGTCAACACTCGTGATCAGATTTCAAAGGGAGGGTCCCCTTTAAAAAGCATGAAAAAGTATTTAAAAATTCTAAAAGACTACAAAATAATACATCTACATTTTAATCTCACTGCAAATGTGATGCTTTGAGCAGAAAACCTTTTTTTTAGTGGAATACCTGTAGAAAATGAATTTCAATTGTGCCTCACATAATGCTGCCACTACAATTCGAAAGTTTTGAGTCGGCAATATTTTTTAATGATTTTGTCTGTTATGCTCAACATGGCTGCAATCCTTTGATCATAAATTCAGTTTAAATAAACAGTAATATTGTGAAATGTTACTACAATTTAAAAAAACTGTTTTCAAGCTTTATATACTTAAAAAATTTAGGTATTACAGTGATGGCAAAGCTACATTTTTAGAAGCCATTACTCCAGTCTGATTTGGTGCTCAATAAATATTTCAAATTATTTTCAATGTTGAAAACAGTTCTGCTGCTTGATACTTTTTTCAGGATTCGTTGATGAATAGAAAGTTCAAAAGTGAACTTTTATTTTTACATTTATTTGAAACAGACTTGTTTTGTAATATAATAATGTCTTATACTCTCACTTTAAATCCATTTAGTGCATCCTTGCTGAATAAAAGTATTTGTTTCTTAAAAAAAATCGTACTGACCCAAACTTTTGAACGGTAAATGCACTTTTCCAAAATGTTTAATCAGACAGTCATTTTCTAGCCACACATATCTGACAAAATGTAAAACTTTCGTTTTAGTGCATCTCGTTGATTGACAGTATAGTCAAGTCTTTTTAGGTGTCAGGGGGGATTAACTTCACACTTCCAATGTATGTGCTTTTTTGACCACATCCAAATTCTGTTTGGACCCCATTTGTGCCTGTATATAGCTCTGCCCTCTTGTGATTGGAGGACTGAAGGTGTCATGTGCACAACCTGTATGTTTCAGGTTCCTGGCTAATGTGAGCACGTACACAGAGACTCCTGCAGTGGCCTGTGTGGTGTCAGGTTTCCTCTCTGCTCTGTTGGCTTTGCTCGTCAGTCTGAGGGACCTGATCGAGATGATGTCCATCGGCACCCTGCTAGCCTACACGCTAGTGTCGGTGTGTGTGCTTCTGCTGCGTTACCAGCCTGAAGGAGACATCCATGGATTCGTCAACTTCCTCTCCGAGCAGAACTCGAAACGTAAGGAGGGAGTGCTGGCCGAGTGCGAGAAGGAAGCCTGCTCGCCGGTCAGTGAGGGTGATGATTATGGAGGAGCTGCCACAAACACCTGCGGAGCCAAGAACCTGCCGTCTCTGGGAGACAACGAGATGCTGATTGGTAAGCCTGACAAGTCCACCTACACTGCCAGTCACCCCAACTATGGCACCGTGGACATGTCCTCAGGCATTGAGTCAGATGAGACGGACAGCGTGTACCTTCTGAAGCTGAAGAAGCTGCTGGGGCCTCGCTATTACACCATGCGCATTCGGCTCGGCCTGCCGGGGAAGATGGACCGGCCCACTGTGGTCACCGGCCGGGTCGTCACTCGCTGCGTCATTCTGCTCTTCATCCTCATCTTCTGCTTCTGCTCCCTCATCATCTTCGGGTCAGGTCAGATCGCTGATGGCCAGTGGTGGGCCGTGCTGCTGCTGGTGCTGCTGCTGCTGGTCATCACGCTCTTGATCTTCATCATCATTCAGCAGCCGGAGAACCCCAAGCGCCTGCCCTACATGGCTCCTTGCGTTCCCTTTGTCCCGGCCTCTGCCATGCTTGTAAACATTTACCTCATGCTCAAGCTCTCCACCATCACATGGATCCGTTTTGGCGTATGGTGCTTCGTGGGTGAGTTTCAATATTATTTTAAATGGGCATGTTGATACAGGCAGCATCTTATTGACATGGGTCATTCCTGATATGCAGGGTGGTTTATTCAGCTTCATCAAAAGTGACTGTAAAGACATTTATAATGTTACAGAAGATTTCTTTTTCCAAATAATTTCAGAATCCTGAAAAAATGTTTCACAAAAATATTACCGGTAATCAGCACAACTGTTTTCAACATTGATAATAATAGGAAATGTTTTAAATAAGCAAAATTAAAATAATTTCTGGGGGATCACAGGAATAAATGACATTTTAAAATATATTAAAATACAAAACATTTATTTTAAATTGTAATCATATTTCTCATAACAGTTTTTACTGTGTTTTTTTTTATCAAATATATGCAGCCTTTTGGTGAGCAAGATACTTCTTTCAAAAACATTTAAAAACAAATACTTTTGAACAGTAGTGTAGTTTCATATTTGTATTAAACTCAAAAACTTTGAATAACCATTGACTAAATTTAATAGATTTCTAAATAATATAATACATATTAATATAATAAATAATTATAATATATATAAATAAGTGATTCTTATATTTTTTCCTTGACCTAATTGAAATTTTTAAAACAAAAATTTAAATATGTTTTTAATTGCTGATCAGTGTATTGTGTTCTAAATATATTTTATGTAAAAAAAAAAAAAAAAATTATATGTTTTCAAAATGTTCATTTTTTGCCATTGTGTAAATAATAAAGTTATCATTAACTAAGTTTAATTTCTGGAGCTTAACCAGAGCATATTTCTGAAAGTATAGTAAACTCTTTTTTTGAAGAAATTCTTCCTTAAATGACAACACAATCATATTGATTTTACAATAAAATGTACAGTTCTAAACTATTGCATGACAGGAATGACCCACATGCTCTCCACTGTCAATCATTTGCTGTGTTTTTTTATGTTTCTTTTGTCAATGAAGTGAGGGAAAACACTGATCAATTACATTTGTGCATTAGTTTTATGTACATGTGTGCACTGTTTGTGTTGTCTCTGTGTGTTCGTCTCTGCAGGTGTTTTGATCTACTTCGGCTATGGCATGTGGAACAGCACCCTAGAGATCACGGCGCGAGAGGAGGAAGCCCATGCTAGCACATACCAGCGCTATGACGTGGGCGTGGACGACAACTTTGCCGTGGATGACGATCTATACCCTTCTGGAGATGGAGGGCCATACCAAAGCTTGGGCTCCCATGAGGGCAGAGGTGGGCACAAGAAACAGCAGGAGCAGAGTGAGCCTCAGCTTGACGGCCTGGACAGGGTGGACAACCACAGGACCTCCTCTTCCTCCTCACACAGCAGGGCCAAAAGCAAAGCTGGCAAACCTAGTCCGGGCTTTGAGGCGCTGGTGGTCGACGATGATTTGGACGATCCTTTGGAATGAGAATGTAATCTGAATGTACTCGTCTGCCAACAACTGCAGAACCCTTGGGCTAGATTGTTATGTCTCTCTGCAATGAGTTTTTATTTGACTTCTATTCCTTCATTTGCAGCCCTTTTTTTTACTACTGATTGGATAATGTGAACGTTTAAGATGGGATTTAACATTTAGAAGGCTTTTGATCTTTCTTTTTTTAACCATATAACACCTAAAATTTCTTTCTTTTTTGTTTTTAAATTATTTTACAGTTTTAAATTAATTCTCATTATAATCATTTTACTGAACTCTTCAGCACTTAAATATGTATAATCTAATGTTTCTCTTGAAAGCAACAGTCCCTCCGACCAAATTTAAATTTATTATCTGTCCTGTAGTTTATTACTGCCCTGTTAGTTATCACAGTCCCACAGTTTTTCCCAATACAAGCATCTTTCAGCTGTCAGGACGATGTCCGTTCACAGATCACTTCCACTCTATTAGCCTCGACACTGTCTTTATGTGGGGTTGATATAAAACCAGCTGAAAAATTCCCATGCGAAGCCCTTAAAACAGTTAAAGCGATTTGCACACTTTAGCTATTCAGTAAGCAGCTGTTTTTCTTAATCAATTTTATTATCGCATACAAAAAGGTTACTTTGAGAAGCAAAGGTAGATGATACGATGAGGAATGATATGATAAATAGTTAGGCCCCACAGAATCAAAGGCCTCATTCTCTTCCGCTCAAACATCTAGCCCAAGTGAGGTTTGGACCGTAGGTTTTTACAAATAGTAATTGGACTTTGCTTGCAATAGTGCCTTCATCTGTCAGTGTGTGCTTTAAATATGGCCATCAAGATGTCCATGCTTGTTTGTTTGTCATTTCTGTTGATGTCGACATATCCATGGGTTTGTTTTCCCGCTGAAGGTGCCTGTCAGCTGTCACGTGTCACAACCGACCATCCATTCATCCTATGTGCCAGTGACTCCGCTTCATCCTTGCAAGCAGGCCGCTCTGTGTAAATACCCACGGTGTGACCACAGTACGATTTGTGTCTCTCGGCTGGTCAGTGTGTCCGTTGAAAAAAAAGGAGACGTGATTTAGGAAAACAGAGGGTAAGGAAGGGGAATTTGCATGTGGTGGAGAGCGTTGTGAATTTTTAATCTGGATGTGCTCTTCTGCTGTTCCCTCCTCCCATAATTCATGTGGCATTTAACCAATCTGTCCAGACCAACTCTATCTGTACAGCTCTGCCAGCCGAAAACAAAAAAACAACCAAGCCAGGCCTCAAATCCATACATGTGGAAGACACACATCATGCCATATTGCTTTAAATGTGTCTCCCCTCTTGTGTTTGTGACAAATATTTAGAAACGTTAAAAAAACAACAACTAAAGATTGAGTTGCCATAAATGATTTGCAGGCTGTATCCTTTGAGTCCCATTAGCTCTCACAGCGTATAGAGCTCCATTTTGGGGCCTGGGTTGGTTTTGTTCCTTGCATTTGGTCTATGATGTGATTCTTGTCGCCGTGGCATTTTGCTGAATGTATAGCATGTTCAGACGTACGGGGCCCAGAGTAAAACTATGTTTGTGAGTATTTGCATGTGTGGTGACCGTTGAAAGACTTGATGTAACTCTCAAATGTAGCATTCTGAGAGACGAGGGTAGCAGCCTGCCCACCGTACACCCCTCAAACCCTCCTCGTCCTGAGTGGCCTCTGTTTACAAAGCAAGCCAAAGTCTGCATCCTTCGTTTACTGTATCAGACAAAATAGTAGAACACCATGTAACAGTGTGGAGATGTGAGATATCGAAGAGAAGTATTTTTTTACAGGCATTTCATACCTTCAGGTTCTCTGTCAGGGTAGGGTAGCCACCGCCAGTGGTGTTTTGTGGGTTCTCTTACGGTTCAGACGAACTTCTGAAGAAAAGTGGCGAAAGCATATATTTTTAATGGCCTCTTTCTAGACTAAAAAACATAACTGGAGACGTTTGGGTTTGGATTTAATAGATTTCATTTAATGTTATAACATAAGAATAGGCTTTAAGAAGGTTTCTTCTATTTCTAGTTTTTAAAGAAATAGTTCATTAAAAATAAAAATTGTGTCATCTTTATTTATCTCCTAACCTGTAAAATATTTTTTTAAATGCCACAGGGGTTTTGTCCATAGAATGGAAGACAATGGGGTCCAATGATGTTGTTTTGGACCCCATTAAAAAAGAAAAAAAGAAATCTTAAAAATATCTTCTTTTGTGTTAAGCAGAAGTCATACATGTTTGGAGCGACATGAGGATGAGTAAAGGATGACAGAATTTTCATTTGTGGATGAAACTACCCCTTTGAGTAAGATTAGAATCTACATATAGAAATATTTTATTAAAAATCTATCTGGAAAAAAAATCAATGTTTCCTCTGTTGCTTTTAAAGATAGCTACTATTTGTTATTCGTCTCTGAGAAAAGGTACAGTGTTTGTACTTTGTGAACTATCTTTCCTGCTATCATAGTTTGTTCGGTATTTGTTCAGGAAATGTGGAGATTGGCTTCCCTTGCAAATCTGATCTTTGTTTCTTCTGTATATTTTGGTATGAAGTGGATGTATTCTGGTTTCAATGATTTTTTTTAAAGAATCTATTTATTGTTTCTTCTACTTGTGGTTTTGCTCTCCCGTTGCACTGTGTAATGAGATGTTAATATTGCTTCCATGCAACAATGAAAGTCATTTATTGCAGATCAGATAAGCGTGACTCTTGGTTTTCCTTTCGCTTTAAGGCTGTCTCACACAACCCGAAATCAGAAGTAATAAAAATCCTCACATGGGTGGCTTGTGTAAGCATTGCATTGCAGGCCCGCTCTGTTTCCTGTGGGGTGGAGCGGTGAGCCTAGAATAACAGCGATCCGAGGGTCGTACCTGAGCACAAAACAAACATGGTCATACTAGGATGGGCGCCGCTGGCTATGCAGAGGAATGAGATGAACAGATCAGGACGTACTGTTCCATTATCATTGCTGCAATGGTGGTCGATGTGGTACAATATGGTTTGGAGATCTCAAAACATGTTGTTATGTTCAATTCATACAGTTCAGACGCTTCTGTCTGTATGGTGCAGACATCGACACAACCAGAAGCACCCTCCTTTTGTGGGAGGGTCTTCATAAGTGTTATTCCTATGAGGCACTCATAGGACGCCATTTGTGTCATCTCTCATCAGCCTGAATCAAATTTAAATGTGATGTCCTTATATTGTTTGTCGTCATCTGTTTGGGAGGAAGCCTCCCCTTTTCCTGATGCAAGATATCCTGGTGCTGATCCTGGATGAGAGGAAGACAGTAAATATGTGATGCTGTGTGCTAAATGGTTATATTTTCCTGATATATTTAAAACACATATTTAAAAAATATTATGCACTTTTAAGCTTATGCAATACCCAGTAGTTGCTTTATTACTCTCACTACTTGTGATAATCCTTAGCAAAAGGTGATATAAACTCATTGCACAAATAATCCGACATTTCCTGTAAGAAGCCATTTGGTGTTTTCAGAACATTCTGGAAACTGCAGATTTTTCTGGTCAGTTCAAGGTCAGTCTCATAATCAGTAACAATTTGTACTGGAGTATCAGGTAACAAATATACAATGTTGTCATTTTTATGCTCAGTAGTATCAGTTTTCCGAGGAAAAAACAGACAAGCTAAAGCTAGTGCATCAGGGTTGCTGTATTTCCACATTGGAATATGATTACTTTAAATACTTTTGACTAGTAAATGAAGTTGTCATGTTTGTTCAAATGGAGATACTTTCTTGAATTATACAAAGAACATTAAAGGGTCATGAAACACCCCGTTTCAGTACAATCAGGTCTCGTCAGTTTTAAAAATTGCTCAAAATTGGCCATGGAAAGACACCACTGACATATATGAGCACTGTTGTTCACGAAAATGTCACTTCAAATTACAAATCCGGTGTTATGAACAATCAGGTCCCCTCTCACAAATGGGTTGGCACTTTTTGTAATTGTATCTTGTATGCTACCGGTTCTCTGATTTTAGCACTACTGTAGCCTGCTGTATTGTACAACAGTTGATTGTATTAAATATATTTTAAATGAAATATATTAAATATATAAAAAGTGTAGCTTCACATTTTCTTATTTGCATGTTCTTAAAAAATGATAAAAAATGATAGATTTATAAAGCTAGCAGGCTAACAGGCTAGAGGTATGCCAAGCTAGAATGCTAAGCATTTAAAGGAGGAGACATTTAATTTCACAGTCTATAGCTTTGTGAAATCATAAGCAACATAATTTTAAATGTAATTGCAGTCATATTCACACAGTTAAAACAACATTTCATAAGCCAAGTGTGTAGGTTTTCTAACCAGGCACTCAATGTGGCAAGCTAAGGCCTTTCAGCCAATGGAATCATAGGCCTACCCATTTATGCAGGGGGACTCATTTGTTCATGGCACAGGATTACTAAAATAGGCCAAACATTCCTAAATGATCTACTTTAATCTTCAAATAATTTCTATCATGTGCAGCATAATTTACAACATAATATTTTTTTTTTGTTTGTTTCTTTCATGACCCTTTAAAAAGGAAATGCTAAACCTTTTTTTCTCCAAGTTATAAACAGGAATGAAGGCTGGATTAACATCATGACATTTCAACTTCCTGTTTCTTGCTAGTTCAGGTCAATTTCTGCATTTTCTGTCTCTCCCTCTGCTTTTAGGTCATCATTTGCAGCCATATTTGGAAGAGAAAAATACTGTAGAGACCAATGCAATTTTCCTTTGAACTTCCTCCACCCCAAACTACCTCTTACCAAAGACTGAATGGTTAAGACCTACAAATAAGAAGCAATATTTGACATCTAAAATGCACCCCTCATAAATCATACTGTAGTGATTCAATTTGCTCAATTTGATTCATTTTTCACATGATGTACAAAAACATGCACATGTTGCTTATATCCTCAGTATTCAGCCATTGTCGACATATGCCTACAAGTGTTACAGGAAACATTCAGTTCAAGGACCCCAACCAGAAAACAAAAACGGAGACTCATTGCAACCAGAGTATAATCTTCCTTTATGGCTGATTGCGACCATTAACCTTTAATCTGCCAGTCATGGTTGGCCATCATCAGTCGTAATGGGACGAGCTTCTCGTTGGAGAAAGAGAAATCGATACACGTACATGTCTTGGGCGCCTGAATTGTATGTGTGTCTCAAGTGCTTTTAGTGAGAATGAATGAGAGGTTTAAGGATGATGCACTGCACCTGCCTGGGCATCTGACAGCAGATGTCATGTGTTTGACAATATACAGTCCTGCGGAAAGCCATTCGGTTCATTTTACCAGCAGGGTTTTATTTATAAAAATGACATAACCTATAATCAAAAAACACTTTCACAGACATTTTCACATAGAAAACTGTTTATTACAAAATAAAAAACATAATAAAAACTGCATACAAGTATTACAATAAATAATATTGCTAAATGGTTACTGCTTTGGTCCAATTTTGGTGCAATTTGGCTTGGGCGCCTACTCTGAAATAAATCAAAATGAAAAGATAGCTGTACAAACAGACTGAAATAAACTGAAAGATTTAGAATAAAAACAACATTGGCAATACTGTTAGTATCCCACTATAAAAATAGGACTTAAAATGGCACATTGTACTGAAGACCCTTTGAACAATAAATCCTTCAGTGCAGTTACTTCTGGTCGACTAACCCTGCTGCTGAGTCAAAGGGTTAGAGTTCAGCTGTACGATAACTATCCAAAGAGTCACCACTGTAGATAGACATAGTTGAAACAAGAAACAGTGGAGAAAGGGAAGAAAGAGAGTAGGAATCTGATCTGAGCAGTAATCCCGAAGCTCACACGTGAGCACTTTTGGCGTGGTTAGTGGAGGGGGGGCCAGGATGGGCGGGGCCCTGTTTGGAGTAGTAGAATCTGTTGTTGTCAGTGTATGTGGCAGGGGTGTCCACTGAACAGCAGGTGATCATACAGCCTCCTAGCAAACAAAGTGCAGTTCCCACCCAGCCCGAATACAGGGAGAAGCCAAAGGACATCAAACCTCTCTCGTGATGGGCTCCGATGGGAAACCACACAGTGGAGACGATGCCACAAAAAGCTGAGGAAGAAAAGACACACTATTAGCAAACAAATATTCTTTTATTATTATGGTTATATTTTGCAGTAAGACCATAATGGCCCAGATCCGGCCCACATCTGGTACACGTGGATTCCATGCGTACCAGATGTGGGCCGGATCTGGGCGACACTATGTTGCTGTTTGGGAGAGCTAGAAAGATACACTCAAATGGTTAAACAACTGACTCTTACAGTTGGTTAGAGTTGGTGATAAAATGGATCCTCTGGGAGGAAGAGTGAGCAATCTATTTCTAAGTCCAATTACTAGAAATAATGCATTCTATGGGAACAGTAAGGCCTATATCTGCCTCTACTTTTTTTTAGCGTAATATGACCTTAATTTAAGAAATACAAATACAGGCTTACCAGTCAACAGTATTAGGATTCCACCGAACACTGATCGTTTGTTCTTGGCGCTTTCTGGTTCACTTCCGAGGTTAATACAGGACATTGACATGAGCACGAGCGCAACAGCAGGCAATCCGAGAATCGATGCTGTGACCATTAGTGCTCGAGACGTCTGGATGTACGCTTAAAAGAAAGAACAGAATAATTAAATTCTCGAATTCATGGTGATAATCAAATTCAATGAATCATATTGTAATTTAATGATTTATATTATAAAATATATATATTTTTAAACTAGTGGAGGAAGAAAAAGTTGTTTTGTAGGCTATGTAAAATATTTAGCCTAAATATAATTTATAGATAGACTAATGTAAAAATACTATAGTTTTAATAGCTACATACTAGCCTATATGAAAATATCATTTTATATTTAAAAATATATTCAGATTTAAAATTAAATAGGCCTTGGCTACATACATTATAATGTAACCTATTAAATTTATCAAATAGCCTATTGCATATTTATTTCATATTTGATAAGTTCATATCTGATATTTAAAAAAGTAAATAGTATGCTGCTTCTGTATTAAACATTGGAAACTGAATTGTAATCGTTTTCATCTTTACTCCTAAAAGAAGCTAGAAAATTTCTGTTGTAATTACTGTTATTAATAAATGATTTCACACGTACCTGGTAACTCGAGAATCTGCGTGAGTGTGCTGCAGTGATACAGGGCAGTTGAGATCACACAGTCTGCCCACAAACCTTTGGCCTCCAGTTCATCCATCTTCTTACAGGTGTTCATGTTATATTTACAAGTAACTACCCATTCGTTAGTGGCAGTGGCGATGATAAGCCCAATCCAACCAAGAAAACTCATCACAAAACCCGTGAACTGTACGCAAGTATTTGCCATAGTGTACAGTGTGCGCAAAAATGTGTCCAACAGAAGAAAAAGTCCTCTTGAAATAGATGATAATCAGATATTCTAAAGCCAGACAGGATACTTTCTCGGAATTTATAGGTGGTAAAATCCAGATATGTTAATCCATTGCGTAAAAATCATGATGAGTTGTAGATCCCTATGGAGCGCAGTAGACTATTCCAAGCTAATACAATGAGATACCGTTAGCAGAGCTTTTATAGTGGAACTAAAGACACAAAAGAACTTTCAGCCAATCACATGAGTTGAGACACTTCCCAAGGTTACTCCTTATCTCTTGTTTTTCACTCTCCTCTTTTCTCCTTACATGTCCATAGTATGTAATGTTAAATAATGCTTATGCCTATTTAATGTGTAAAATTGACGAAATGACTCATAAGTTCACCAAGTACGGTAACTACCTACATTTCAGAGTAATATTTGCTCAAGTGGCTTTGATAACAGTGCAACACCTCTGATTGGATTTTTGTTATATGCTGCCCTCTGGCGGTTGAATTCTCAATTCATGTGCATCATTTAGTAATTAGAGGGACAAATATATAATTTAGCAGCCCTGTGACTCAATAATAAAAAGCAGAAATCACGTTAATGGCCAAGATACTTGAGAATACCTAACCCTATATGGCTAAAGAGTTTTAAATTTATTTTCAAATATACAAAAAATGTATCAAGAAAATATATTTATAGGCCTAATAAATATATTTAAAAATTTATATTTTAAATTGTGGTATACGATTTTCATCTAAAATACATTTAAAAAACATTTTCACAAGAATAAAAAACAGATGCTTTTTCAATCTCTAAAATATAGCTACTTTAAAGGGGGGATACACTGACTCTCCACACACATTTAGCCTATATGTGTATCTAACATGTAAATTGATCTATTTAAATTGTAAAAGAGGAATTTTTTCCCCCCAATTTTTCAACTCCCTTTTTTATGTTAGCAACTTAAGATATTGATGTATGGTTAATGTAGCCATGAAATGTTTACAGTTGGCCTTATTTCCTTATATCATGGAGCATAAAGTGGTAGAACCTGTTGTTGTAATGTGGTCAATGAAGGTGAGCTTTGAAATAGCTGCATTGACTGTGTGACCTCTGACGGAAATATAAAGGACATCCTGGCTATAAAGGAATCAGAGATCAGTCTTGTGTAAATCATCCAGAGACTAATATATCAGAGGGGCATGCAGAGATTCTGTCCGTGATTCCAGATGAAGAAACATAGATATAGAATCAATAGTTCTCTTACGAGAGGTTCTCTCGTATTGCGTAAGTTTAGCTTACGCTATGGGAAAGATTCATCTTCTCGAGATATCGAAGCCAAAAATTATCCTTAATTTTGTATATGTTGTCAACGCAGTGCAGCTGCTAGCAGACCTAGAGCGGGCATTCTAGCGCGCTCATAGGCTGCTCTGCGGGAACTGCACAGCCTACCAGTGAGCCTGACGTGACGTCCGCCGCGTCCTAGCCCGCCAGAATGGGCGTGGCTTAGCGTATATAAGCGGGGCTCGGAGGCTGATTCTCTGTTTTGCATCTCTTCAGCGAAGCTGCTCGCATCGCTGGACCTTGAGAAGCCACCGCCGTTGAAACAGCGACAAGCCAGCTAGGACAGTGACTGAGGCAGCCGGCCGCCTTCGCCACCTTCAGCCTTCCGAAGCGAGCTACGCTATCCGGCGTCGTATCCTTTTTTCTCATTGCAAACCGAGCATCTAAAAGAGCACGAGCGTCTTTTTAAAGATGCCTCGGTCCACTTGCGACTCGTGCAGAGCCCCTCTCAGCATCGGAGACTGCCGCGTTATATGCGCTCTCTGCCTGGGCCAGGAACATGTTGCTCTTGCCCTCTCTTCGGGAGGATGTGAGCACTGTGAGGATCTTCCAATGTCGACCCTGCGGGCTCGACTCGAAGCCTTCCAGGACGAAGCTATCTCTCCGCCCTTTGCTGCACCGCGCAGGAAAAAGAAGCGCCGTTCACAAAGGTCGCAGGAGCCTGCCGCCGCCGCAACGTGCTCCCCGGAGTCCCTCCTTCGAGCCTCGCCGACGGCCTCCCCGCTTCTTCTCACCGACGCGCAGCCGCCGGCTACGGGCCGCCCTGCCGTCGAGTCTGAGGACGACGCGGATGGACCCGCCGCAGGAGATAGCTGTTCCATCCTAGCTTCGGATAGCGAGGAGTGGTCGAGCTCTCAACGCTCCGCCTCCTCTTCTATTCAGGAGTCTGGGAGAACACGCGCTGGAGCGGAAGCCGAACTGATGCGCCTACTTTCGCAGGCCGTCGACCGCCTCGGGCTCGAGTGGTCACCGCCTCAGGAGCCCGCCCCCAACAGGCTTGATGGCTGCTTTCTTCAGAGTCGCCGCCGTCAAGCGCCCGCTTTCAGGCCCGCGCCCTTCCTCCCTGAGCTGCACTCGGAACTGGCTAAATCGTGGAATGCCCCTTTCTCCGCGAGGCTCTGTGTCGCTCTCCCAAGTGGACGGCGCCGCCGAGAAGGGATACAGCTCTATTCCAAAGGTCGAGGAAGCTGTCGCAGCGCACATTTGCCCACCCTCCGCGAGATGGCGCTCAAAGTCTGCCCTACCATCTAAAGCCTGCAGGACCACATCTGCCCTTGTCGGTCGCGCATACGCCGCCGCCGGACAAGCAGCTTCCGCCCTGCACTCAATGGCTGTTCTGCAAATTCTCCAAGCCGATGTCCTCTGTGAGTGGGACGAGAAAGGCCGGGACTCAGCTGCCGTAACGGACCTGAGGAGCGCGACGGATCTCTCCCTTCGCGCTACCAAGTCTGCGGCCCAGGCCCTGGGGAGATCCATGGCCTCGTTAACTGTAACTGAGAGGCACCTTTGGCTGACTCTGGCTGACATGAGAGAGTCTGAGCGTACGTTTTCCTCGACGCCCCTCTCTCACACTCCGGTCTCTTCGGCCCAGCAGTGAACGGAATCGTCGACCGTTTTTCTGAGGTGCAGAAAACGTCGCAAGCCATGAACCTGTTCCTGCCGCGTCGCGCTAGCTCCGCTGCAGGTCGCTCACGTGACCAGCAGCCTGCACGAGCCGCCACGCAGCGCCCAGCTCAGCCCAGACAGAACAGCCACTCTTCGCAGCGACAGGGCGGCCACCCTAGATCGCGCTCAGCTAACCGCAGCAGGCCGCACCCCCCACGAGGGCCTCGGCCGAAGATCGCGTTGAAACCTGAGCATGCGAAGCCCTCCTAGCACCATCAGGAGGAAAAAGACGGTTGTGTCTCGCGGCCGGACCACCGTCGAAACTTCTAGCCCTGTCAGTCCCCTCATCTCAGGCTACTACAGTGGATCATTTAGCAGTCAACGAGTCGGTTACACAACCCGCTCGCCTGCACACAAACGCCGTTTTTACGGCGACCCAGAGAAATCTCATAAAGAGCAGGTTATCTGGTTATCCGGCTCATGCCGAAGGTGTTTTATGTGTAGTAAAAGTGCCCACAACCCAGTGTTCACCCCTACATGTAAACACAACACTTCCCGTGTCCCACATAGAGCCCACTCTCATGAAGCAGGCAAATGCTGCTCGAGTGTTGCCCATAGCAGATGTGCCCACGTGCCCACATCTACTATCTGCCCGCTCTGTCACACGGCCAAGCCGCGCGCTTCAAACAGTGCAGCCTCTGTCCAAACAGGCTCCAAAAGTAAGTCACGTGCCCGCTCGCAAGCGCTCACGCTTACTGCTATGCACTTCTCACACAAAGCGCACCACAGTGCGCAGTCCCACATGAGCCACAATATAAACGTAAGTCTAGTGCCCGCTCACAAGCGCTCACGCTTACTGACACGCGCTTCGCCAGTGCTGTTAAACACACGCCACAAAGAGCAAGCTCATGCCGGTCAATCTATGGTTGTAAATCACGCGTCCGCCCACGAGCGCCCACGCTTACAAGCCTGCACGCCTCTCAAGGTGCCGCTCGCGCATCACAATGTGATCACAAAGCTCCCCCCATTCACAGTAATCGGGAAGCTGCATATAAAACCGCCTGTCACTGTTTTCAGCGAGCCGCCCCATATAAGTCCACAGAGCGCGCGCGCTGCGGCCGCTCCTCCGGTTCAGTCTCTCGAGCCCGCACAGCGCGGCGACCAGAGCCCGGAGTCCATTCTACCCTTAGCTGCACATATAAAAGCATGGGAAAACATCCCAGGGGTATCGAAGTGGGTGCTAAGCACTATAAAGCAGGGTTATGCGTTACAGTTCGCTCGCCGTCCCCCTCGATTTCGAGTGCGGACCGCAACGACAGTGAAAGCAGAAGTAGCACACCTACTTCGCTCGGAAATAACAAAACTGCTGTGCAAAGGGGCCATAGAACCGGTACCGCCTTCTCTGAGCGAGTCAGGCTTTTACAGCCGTTATTTTCTCGTGCCCAAGAAGGACGGGGGACTCAGACCCATACTGGATTTGAGGCATGTGAACAAAGCTCTTATGAAAAGACCGTTCAGAATGCTTACAACCAGACAACTCCTCGCCCACATTCGCCAGGGGGACTGGTTTATATCTCTCGATCTGAAAGATGCCTATTTCCAGATTCAGATAATACCCCGTCACAGGCCATTCTTGAGATTCGCCTTCGACGATCGGGTTTATCAATGCACCGTCCTGCCGTTCGGCCTGTCATTAGCACCCCGTACATTCACGAAGTGCATGGACGCGGCTCTCGCCCCCTTGAGAACTCAGGGCGTGCGAATTTTGAACTATCTGGACAATTGGTTGATTCTAGCACAGTCAGAGACAGAGCTATTATCTCACAGAACTGCGCTTCTCAGCCATCTGAAATGCCTAGGTCTCACGGTCAACTGGACCAAGAGCTCATTACTGCCCAGTCAGTCAATTTCCTTTTTAGGAATAGAACTGGACTCAGTGACCATGACGGCTCGCCTGTCTACACTGTGTCCGGCAACTGGCCATGCCATTCACGGCGGGCAGAGTTTCCCCTCTGAAAAAATTCCAGAGGATGCTAGGCTTGATGGCTTCAGCCTCGGCGGTACTCCAGCTATGTTTACTACACATGCGCCCGCTACAGCACTGGCTGGCCGCGCGTGTGCCACACCGAGCTTGGAAGTCGGGTCGCGAGCGGATCAGAGTGACTCAGAGCTGTATCACAGCTCTGCAGCCCTGGTCAGCGGCCGACTGGTACCAGAGGGGAGTGACTATGGGGGCGGTCTCATACAG